TGTATCAAGATTCCATTATTGGTGATTAAAAATTGGCAGGGCCGAACATGTGTTTTGCGGGGCCTAAGACGAAATTCAGATTTTGGGCTCCTAAATCATAAGAAGTAATTAATTTTTTTCATGTACAAAATAATTAAGGAACTAAATTTGTTAACATAAAATCAAAAAATAAAACAAAAAAATGAAATATTAAAAATATGTATATTATAATCAAATAACAATGTGAAAATGTTCTAAAAGATCACTTAAATTCGTCTTGCAGTTTTCAAGGCAAAAATATCAATGAATTTTGTATAGTCGAGTTGTTCAACCATTTCTTTTTTCTATTGATAACATGGCTAAACCATTCAATCTTTGTTGTGACATAGTTGATCGGATATAAGTCTTGATCAATTTCAATTTGAAGAAACTTCTTTTTGCTGATACAACTGTAATCGGGCTAGTGAGCAAAATCTTGTAAGCAATGCAAGTATTTGGAAAACAACCATTTATTTTTTTCAAGTAATGTAGCATATTAATTGCTCTTTTTGTTTCACTAGTTAAATAGCATCTCAAGATGATCAACTCTGAACACAAATCATCTCCTAAAATGTCTGAATGTCAATTATGCTTTAATCATTGCTCAAGATTCATACAGTATTTCAACAAATCGTCAACTTGCATAATCATTAATCTATCCAAGTTAAACAAAAATTCAAATATCTCTTCATAATGTGTAAATTATTCAAAACGAGTCTGAAGTGATGATAGAGCTTGATCAATTATAAAGAGAAAATACTCAACTCTAAAAGATTCTTCAGCCGAGTATGTTACCTCTTTAGTACCACTTTCATCGAATTGCTTTTTTCTTCGAATGCTACGTCTCCTTGAAATACAGCTTCAATTCTCATTTCACTTGCCATTTTTTTAGCTTCATCCATGGCACTGACAAACCCAAATTGTCTATAGTCTTCGAGAAATGAAATAAGTGCTTGTAAAAGTTTGATGGCTTCATTAATATCCATGCTTTCGGCTTGAAAAAATTTACTCGCAATATTGAATGCATGCAACAACTTGTACCAAATTACAATACCTAACAAAAAACTCAAAACTTTCAAGTTCATATATAGCTAAGGACTCAGCTTCACTTTTTGTTTTTGGATCTTCAACAATGTTTGCCAAGTAAAGTAAAGTGTTTCCTATTTGCACAGATTTTTCTTTTATAGGCTTCATACTTTCCAAATGACTTTTCCAACATGTCTGCGACAATGGCTTAAGTGTCAGACCTTGAACCTTATCTTTAAAAAATTTCCATCGTTTGGGAAGAGAAGAGAACAATGTGTAGATTCGCTGTATCATTCCAAAGAAGGACATAGCTTTCGAACAACGATTTGCCTTATCACATAATGCTAGATTAAGGCTATGATATGGTTATTTCAAGTAACCTTTTTTGTACACCTCTATGTCTCTCGCTCATGTTAGCTCCATTGTCATATCCTTGACCTCTTATATTATCAATATCAAGCTCAAGATTCTTTAACACATTTTTAAGCTCAACGAAAAGTTCAAATCCTAATGCATCATCCACCTTCGAAAATTCAATCCAATATTCTTGTACCATCGGTGAGTCTACCGAATCATCCACGCATCGTATTAATAGAGACATTTGTTCTTCATTACTTGCATCTGGAGTACAGTCAAGTATGACGAAAAAATACTTTGCATGTTTCATTTTTGTGACGATTGCACTTCTCACCTCGCCCACCAACATTTGTATCAATTCATTTTGAATCTTAGACCCAGACATGTATACTAAATCTCACGTGCTTGAGCACGTCGAATGTGTTCTTCCATTATTGGATCGAACTCAGCAACCATTTCTATCATTTGCCAAAAAAGTTCATTGTTCTCAACATAAAATTGCTCACATTCTCCTCGAAATGCCTGAGTATTTTTAGCGAGTCTTTTCACAATAGCAATTATTCTTGTTAACACTTGTTTCCAATGCTCTCTTTCTTTGTTGATAGACAATTGTATGCATTCATCAATTGTATGTTTTGCTTGAAGCCTATTTTCTAGTTTCATCCAACTAATCATGCAACCTATATGCTCCTTAGACACTTTGTGATGAGTAATACGCCAATGTATATTATGCCAATCATTGTATCAATCATTACCCAATTGGCCAATATTTTTAACCATTTTTTCTGTCTTAAATAACTTGCAGCAAAAACAGAAAATCTTATCAAAAGAAAATGAATACACTAGTCATCTTCTATCAGTTGTCTGCCCATTTGCCATTACCCGCTTATATTGTGATGATTCAAAATGTCTACCATGACTATTTCTGGAAAATAAGATGTCATCAACTCTTTTTGGACCCATTTTAACTAAAAAGTCACTTATCTTTTGATCAATGTGAATGTCCTTCCAATTTTCAGGATCATTAAAATTCAAAGAAAAGCAATTCTCTTGATTTAAATCTTCATGTTGAACATTATTTTCATTATTCTATTTTGACTCATCCATATTTGCAGGTTCAATCATTTCTTTGTTCTCTTTTCCGTTCATCCACATGATTCCAATTCTGTTGTTCCTCAATCGTTAACTTTTCTAGTGTTCCTTCCTTCTCTTTTCTTTTCTTACCATTAAAGTATTTATCCATATCTTCAGCTTGACTTCGAATTAATGCCTCGACTCTTTCCTTTTTCTTCCTCTTTTGAGCTCCCGACGCATATTTAAGAGTCATGGTATTTGACTCAAGTCACTTAACAGCAAACGCTTACTGAAATTTAAGAGTAAAAGAAGCCCAAGTTAGATTAATTTAAGATTAAAAATTCAAAATTGATGACCCGATTACAATTAACAACTTATAGAGGAAATCCCCCCAATGGTTACTAAACTTAGCAGAAAATTCCCTAGGAAATCACTGAACTTTGTCGAAATCCCCCAAGAGATCACCGAACTTCAAAACATCCCTAAATGGTCACTGAACTTTGCTGAAGTCCCCCCAAGAGGTCACTCAATGTTGTAAATTGGGATCTCATACATAACTAGTTTAATGACCTCCCAAAGATTTTTTGCAAAGTTCAGTAACCATTCAGGGATGTTTTGAAGTTTGGTGACCTCTTAGGAGACTTCGATAAAGTTCAGTGACTATTTAGGGATGTATTGAAGTTCAATGACCTCTAAGGAGATTTTCTACAAAGTTCAGTGACCATTGAGAGGATTTCCTCACAACTTATAATAAAAGTACTCAACTTAAGATCGATCATAATTCACACTTTATCAATTCTAGAGTTTTAGTTGCGCACTTGATAATGAGAGAACTAGACCAGAATATAATAAATAAATACTAGAGATCTAAATCTTTTAAGTTGAGCTAATGAATCTATATTTCCATCACCTAGCCTTACCTGTTTCATCGGATCATCATCAACTACTATCTTCAAAACCCCCCAACACAAAAATTGGAATGCTAGTCTAGATTACAATTGCTCACAATCACAGACAGCTTACTTCATAGAATCACAGTTCACTTGTCCTTAAATTACTTTAACATGGCAGGATTAATCATTAATCATTCATCATTAATGGATGAATTTAAGAATTTCTTTCACCAACTGAAATCAATTATTCAATTTAACATGTCTTCAAGTTTAAAAATTAAGATGCAACTAATAGACAAAGAAATCAATTTAAATCTCACACCCAAAACATAGCAAGAAAACAAATTGATAGATATTAGATAATAATTAACAAAGTCACTGAAACAGAATGCCACAATGCCCCAGCAATAGCATCAGGAACATGAAGTGATGAAGACATAGTCGGGCGGTCAGATTTTGGATATCAAACATTGCAAGAAAACAATTAACAAATTGATAGATAATGCTTAATAGTAATACAGATACAGAAGCGGAATGCCGAGTGCAGCATTAGAATCGGATTCATGAAATAATTGTCGTCAGCAGGTTGGAATCTGGGGATAAATGACTTACAAAATAGTACCAAGTACAACGTCGAACGAGTCCGATAATAGAAGTCAGAAGACCACCGATGACATATGACAAGATGCTATGAGTCTGTGACTTTGCCTTTGCGGTGTTGCCCATCACTGGTAGGTTTTAGGAGTCGTTGAGACTTAAGTTGCAGTAGACGTAACCAAAACCATGGGAAACTGGCGATTGGTGTGGAGAACTGGAGCAGTCGACTACAAAAGAGTAGAAGACAACTGTTGAAATTGGCTCGGGTTTTCCAAAAAAAATAAAAAAGGGTTACAAGTATTTTGGGCCCCCTTATATTCTAGGCCTGAAGCAGAGGCCTCTTGGGCCTCTCCTCAAGTCCGGCTCTGGAGTCGACTCATTGTAATCTGTATGCTTTTTCTCTGTGGAAAATGGCATTACTAGGATAAAATACACCAAAGTCATCTAATCAATTGCCTATAATTTCTCCTAATTGCAATTATTTATTGGATAAGACAAGAATTTACATAAACTAATTGCAGTACTAGGCTAATTTCTCCTGGTAGAGGTAGATTACTACTACCATTATAAAAGTCATAATCACTTAATCAAAGTCAAATTTTGACTTTAGGGTTAAGTAATTCTTAAGTCCAAAATAGGACATATAAGTCAGCATTGTGGATTCATATACACGGTTTGAGAGGCCTCTGCCGACCATTAAAACAAAATTCATTTTTTTCTAAAATTCATCTTCAATCACACATTCTCATGAAAAAAATATTTTATACGTAAATTTAAAATTCTTTTCTACTTTTTAACCACATATTTTCCAAAAAATTATTATTCCAAAACTTATTTTCTCCCCCCAAAAAAAAATTATTATTATTATTTTCCTGATTGTCAAACGGGAGCTTAATTCCATTTTCAGTAGATTGAAAATCAATCCATCAATCACTTCATTCCACTTTGTTCAACTCAATTATGTATCATACCCACTCGACTATTCACCTAAAAACAACAATTTATTCTTCAAATTTTTGTTCAAAGACGACTAAGCATTGAGAATTAGAAAACTTTATTACATTCTATCAATAACAATAAAATTGCAGTAATGAAATAAAGACACAAAGAACATGCAAGATAGATGCATGTTCGCATCCATATGAGATTCTGTCATTGTCCTTTGCTGCGGTAATTCACTATAAGTCATTTGCTGCGGTAATTCACTATAATGAAAAAAGTTTATAAGAATAATTGTACACTCTATTCTCTCTCTCTCTCTCTCTCTCTCTAGATGATGGTGATGATGTTGACGTTGATGTTGATGATGATGAACCTTATTTACAGCTCCCTATTTATAAGAAGAATTAGAGCAAAATTGAAATTATAAATATGAAATTTGTAAGCTATTCCTATTGAAATTTTGGTTCGGATGCTTCGCCCTTGCACCACCGAAAGGAAGCCTTCCTACTCCCTTCCAACTCTCATGGCCCACGATGACCTTCTCGTGAAGGTTGATGCACATATGGAACTCTGCATAATGATAATAATTAAGATCCATAACTTCACATTATCAATTAATTGCAAACTTAGTGAAATTCATCCATCCCATGGTTTAATGCTACCAAGTCCTTGACAATTCATGAAGCCAGCTTCAAATGTAAAATATTTGGCAAATTGCATTACTTAATTATGAGATTAAATTAGCTACTCGATTAATTGTGACTTTATGAAGTTGGATTTTACTATATAGAATCAGCATAAGATTTGGATCATTGATCCAAAATTTATAGGCGTGCTGTTGAACTACCTTTAATTTTCTTTATTATGATGTTTAATTATTTAATCAATGAGATGATTACCCCACGCTACACTAATCTTTTACTTTTCATCAAACCAAACCTAATACCGCAATATATACTTCAAATGTAAGTACATGTTTCATTTCATTTATTTAAAAGTAATATTTTTCGACGGTATGGCACTTAATACTGTTAAAGATGGTGTAATTTTGTGTATTTTTAATTTATTCCCCATTTGACAAATATTATTTTAACTCTTTTTTTTATATATATATACTCATTTTCAACCACATATTCATTTAATAAAATATTTTGTACGTAAATCAAAAAAATTCTTACTTTTTTAACAACGCATTCTTTTAAAAATGACTATTCAAACTCTATTTTTTCCAAAATCCAAATAGAGTCATACGTGCTCTTTATTTATTTATTTATTATCACTGTCCAGAAAAAAATATGCATTTTATTGAATGATTTCAAACTATAATTGCATCCTAAGAAGGGTTATGCAGACGCACTTTCTTCCACGTGGCCCACACAGGAATTATGGACCCCCATCCAAGGCCCGGGCCCGGGCCCATCAAGATAATATATTAAAAATATTTGATTTCTTGCGTTAAATATTGAAACTTAGGAAGGATGTCCCACATAATGGGATGCCTTTCTTGCCAACTTGCTTAATTTCTCATCAAAGGCAAAGACCGATTAGTTTTTTGCTTCTAAGATTCTAATCAATGCACCCACTCCCAAATAATCTCTTTGCTTCACCCTACCTCCACTTCAAATATTCCAATAAAATATTGATTCATAAGTTTAATAATGAATAAGTTAAGAGGAGGGAGAGTAGAGATTAAATTTCGAGAAGTTAGAACTTTTGCTACTAAATAATTTTTTCAAGTCGAGATCAATTTTCTGTTTGTTACTTAACATACTCAGCCATCATTTTTGACCATTTCACTCACAGGTGGGACCCACCTTTAATGCTAACGGTCAAAAAATTGATTCTCATAATAAACACCAAACAACTCTAAATATTTTTTTCGTAACAAAGACGTGAAAATGTTATTCCTTATTAATTGAATATGTGTCTTAAAAGTTGTATAACGGTTATTTCTCATACTTCTACTCAAATGCATAGTTCGTTGTCATATGCAAAAAGAAGACAAATAAAACTTAAAAATAGCAAGAATTGTTGTTGCTTGATATTAAGGTTAGGTTATTCTGAAGAAGACGTAACTGAACCTTTCGTTTGTTTGGTTAGGTTCCATTACCAAAAATTTTAATTTGGTAATGCAAATTACAAAACAAAATTACATCACCGGTTCATGTGATTTGCTTACGTTGCTACGGAATAGCATTTTTTAACTTAAAAGAATCACAACATAAAAATCAAAACAATGAGACGTTCAATGCAAACGACAAATTTCATCAAAATATTCTCGAGTATAATTACCCACTAAATTTACAAATAAAGATAATTAATTAATAAAAAATGAGTAGATTAGAATCAATATTAGATACTATAATCAGTGTTCTAAAAAACATAAAGCGTAGCTAGGCATAGAGTCGAATCTTCAAGTTTTACCAGCTTAAACAAGGCTTAAATGTAAAAAAGTGTTTTCTTATTTATAATATTATTTCAAATTTTTAATCATTTTAAAAATTATTTAGTAATTAAAATAATGCATACTAGACATCTAAAATTAAGATACAATATTTACTTAATAACTCCCACATTGGTCATTAACAATACAATTTTCAAGTTTTCGAAATGCAAAAGTTATTTCAATTTTCAACTAGACAAAATGAATCTATTATGATTTAATAAATTTATAGGAACTTTATAAATGCTTTTAGAGTTTGTAATAAAATGAATCTCAAAATCATAATTACATAATATAGATAACATCAAAACTTAAATCTTATTTAACTATTTAGATAAAGTCATTTTTAACTTTTATACAGTTAAAATCTCCTAAAATTTTAAAATTAAAGTTGAATGAAAGTTTTTTTTTTTTTTTTAAATAATATTAAGCTAAAATCAAATAAAAACTTTAAAAATAATAATAAAGCGCGTCTACGAAAGACGAAAGAAATAAAGGAAAAAATTCAAAAGTTTAGGAATTGGAAAAAAAGCACCTAGTCTCGAAGCGAGGTGTTTCGCCCCAAATTTCAAATCCGTCTGAACGAATTTTTTAGAACATTGACTATAACCAATACTTGTAGATTTTTCAAATCTTCCGGAAAACATAATTGAACTGGCTCAGTCTTTACCTACCTATTTGATGTGATTGAGATTGAAGAATTGCAAAGGAGTGGGTGTGCGAGAGAGAGAATTGAATAAATCATATGAAGAGGAGAAAATTCTTTTGTCTACTAAGTCCCTGTTTGGCTCCGTTAATTCTAAAATATATTTTGCTCTTATCCATTTTTTTTAATTACACATTCTCCAATAAAATAATATTACATGTAAATTCAATTTTTTTTCCCTTTTTTAACTACATATTCATCAAAAATAACCATTGTAAAATACTTTCTTTTTTTTTTTTCAAAATCTAATTATAATGGAGCTCAAATGGTGGCTAATTTTTAATTATTTCTCTCTCATAGTCATTGTCCATAAAGAAAAGAATTTGGCACAAACTTTCATTCAGATTCAACCAAGTGCTTGAGGTTTTTTTTTTTTAATTTCCATCAGCTTTGACAGATTTTGAAGAATAACATCATTTATGAAGGAATGAAAAAAATCGATGTTTCCTAATTCGTTTGAGTTTCGATTTTGGATGGTTTAAAAATAATATAAAGTAAAAATAGAAAAAAAAAATTTACTTATAAAATTAAAAATATATATATACATATAAGCAAAAAATCCAAGTGTAAAAATAATTTAAAAGTAAAAAAATTAACTTATAACTGTGAAGTTTACTTATAAGTAAAAAACACTAACATTAAATTTTAAGTAAATATTAATTTTTTAGTTAAATATTAACTTATATGTAAAAAATATTTATAAGTAAAATATCACTTATGAGTAGAAAATTTCATTTGAAAAAACTATAAACTAAAATATTTACAAATGTGCATATATGTAATTTTATTCTTTTAAAAAACTTTTAAAATCAATAGATAATAAACTATCAAATATATGAGTTAGACTGTTTTAAAATAGCTACTAAAATCACTCAAAATCGATTTATTCAAAGAGATCAAATTCAATACTTTGAAAAACGCTCATAACTAATACCACAAAACTCCCAAGCATGCCGTAAGTACATTTTTCTTTGCAGATTTTTTTATAACACTTGTACATTTTGAATGCAACATTTAATCTCAGTTTGGCTTAAATTTTTTACAAAAAAATCAAGAATCTATTTTCGACCACATATGTTAAAAAATTCATTACTTCTATCAATCTTTCAATCGTATATTTATCAATTTTTATCGATATCTATTAAAAATCTGATCTATAACCAAACTAAAAAATGACTAAATACAATTACACCACCATCATACGAGATTCTAATTATTATTTTTTTTTAAAATTTTTTAGTACTATTTGGTATTGTCTAAACTTGACAAACTCATGTTTATCATTTATTTTGTAATAAGAAACAAGTCACCTACCACTATTTTTTGTTTGTTTTCCAAATGCCACTTGAACGACAGCCCAACAGCAACTGATTCTTTTGTAAGGTTATTATTTCTTCAAACATGAAGCATAACAAACACGTGGAATCATATTACACATTCCATACAATATATAAATACAAGAATGACCTCAGAGCACATCTCCAAGTGGCAAAAAGGGAGGGTGGAGAAATCCAGCTTTGCTTGAGACTGCTGCGTCAAGGGTTCGAATCCTGAAATATGAATTTGGCTCTTAGGTAAGTATAAGTGTACAAGCAGCCTTCCACCTTATACCCTTGGAGGCATAACCTGCGATTTACCTCCCTCACGATGCTCCAGGGCAGGGGCGGTGGGGGACTTTTAAGGTTGGGGTTCAACCTTTTTTTTTTATATAAATACAAGAATTAATTGTTATAATAAAACGTGACAAATAAACATTACATTATTCTTATTATTTTCATATTTTATATTCAAAATTTGAAAAAATTGACCTTAATACGTTCTGTCAAGAAACAGAAAAAGGGGTTGAAATTGTCAAATTATAATTTGCTTTTTCAAAAGACGTTCTTAACTTTTCTTCTGTAATTAAATTACACAGGAAAAAAATTAACTTAGCCATCAGCCAACAACTGCTAATTATGAATATAACTCCAAAAACTTGACTCAAGTAAATAAGTTAATTTATTAGTTTGGTGTACAAAGGAGCCTCTAAATATCTATTAGATCATTGTCACCTAATCATACTTTATGTCATTTAAGTAAAAGAAAGCCACACTTAGGAATATCATATTACATCAATAGTCTTATAATTTCCATAATCAAGAAAGTTATATTTTCCAATTTATTGTTGAATTGAATTATTTATGGTTCCCTTGAATGGAAATTGTTTATGAACCACCAAAAATTACATATAAAAGAAAGGCAAAGCTAATTTGTTAAAGTTTTATTGTTATTATTTTTCTTTTTTAACCAATTTTTAATTTTTAAAATATTTCTCCCTAGTCTATGCAGAAGTTAAGATGGAGCTCCTCAATCTATGATCATTTTAAAAATAAAAAGTAAATAAATAAATAAAAATGCCCCAACTTTTATTTTTCACATTTGAAGTTCACAACTTTAAAATGCAGCAAATTGATCCCTAGACAGCAGATACTTTCCTTCATTTAATTATTAAAGAATCATGTTTTATACCTTTAAAGTTGAAAACAAAATAAATAAAATAAGAAAGCACAAAATACCTTGTAATTAGTGTCCATCCTTGGAATTAATTGCAAGGGATTTGCAGTGGAGGCTCCCGTCGTTAGAGCATGAAAGCAAGAAATTAAGTGTTATCAACTGCAAGGAATTTGCAGCAGAATGTTTGATGATCAAATAAATTCCACAAAGCAAGAAATTATAGTGTTATGCCAAAACTGATAAAACACAATATCCTGTATTTGCTTTTCCAATTCAACCACATTCATTTAGTTTCGAACGCTCTTCGCCATCTGATACTTTTTAGGGTTCATGGATTTGGGGGCGATTTTGGCCCAGTTGGCCTAATTTAAATGCTGGTACATGCCACATCAAATTTCTAAATCGCCACATGGCACATCCTATCAATTAAGTATAACGAAAATCAAAAGAGTGATGAACAGATAATAAATTAAAAAATGGATGAACAAAGAGTTGTGCTTTATTGTTTAATAAGCAAGTAATTATATAAAATAAAGTTTGATGAGCCTTCATTAAACTTACTCTTCCTTTTGTTCCGTAGAACTCTCTCTTGGCTCAAAGGAAAAGAGAAAAGTAAAAACAAAATAGATTCTTTGCTTGGAAGGACAAAAAAGAAAAAATAGAACAATATTACAAATACATAATTATTTACAAAGTGATGTACATATTGATGAAATGACATTATATAAAAGTTAACCGATTATTTCCTCTCTCTTTTTCTCTCTCTCTCTCTCTTCCTAATTATTTTTTTCTCTTTCTATCTAATTATATGAATAATAAGCAGTATTATTCAAATAAATATAAATTATGTTCCTTTCCAAGCATACACGTATTGCATATCCATTTAAACACTAAAGTCCAGCAATTGTCAATCAAATAAAAAAATTAAAAATCCCCTATTAAATAACCATTGCCCTGAAGTGCATGTAAGCCAAAGTATCAACAAAACCCCATCCTATCTCATTCTCGTTCGAACTGAGCAATAAAATTGTGTGACAAAAACTTCGCCATCAATGGCGTGAAGCATTATCAACTATAACCTTGCGTACCGGAAACATTTATTTTCGAATGGGCAAAATCTTCACTCAACAATTATCCAACAAAAGAATACCACACTGATCATATATAGATATAGAGAGAGAAAAGAGAGAGTGAGAGAAGAGGTAATTGTAGTAAATATATGAGGAAACGAGTGAAAAGCAAAGCTGGGAAAGCACGGAGATCAGTTGTTGGAAGGAATTTTCGATTGCATCCATGAAATCACTGTGGCGCTTACTTTCTCTAGGATGAGCGAATCTGCTTATCGAGTTGAAACGACGTCGCGACTCGCCCAATGGCGGATCGAAAATTTAGCTTCGTGTACTTACAGAAAATCAGACCCTTTCAAGATCGGCAAATGGAATTGGTCAGTCTTTAAAACGCTTTTTAATTATTTTTTCGATGAATTATCTGTGTTCTTCACAAACAAGGAAATTCCAATAAATTTTCTCTGACAGGAAGAGTTTGAGATAATCGATCAAGGATTTTATTTATATTTTTTCTTATTTCTAAAGAAAATGGCGGTTACCAATGAAATGAAACGGTGCCCCTATTCTTTGCTTTTTCAAGATTAACTGAAATTTTGTATTCTAATTCTAATTAAGAACTGTGAAATAGAGACCGAATTCAGGATCCTGAAAAAATAGATACTTTAATTTTTGCATTTTCTTGGCTAATTGTTAGCTCTTGAAGATAAGGTAAGATTGTTTATTTTCTTTAAGATACGGAAATTGATTTTTTTTATTTTTTTTTTTTTTTTTTTTTTTTTTTTAACTGAAGGCATTTATCTGTGGAGAAGAGTCGGACTTTGTCCATTAAATTGTACCCGGAGGTATCAAACATAACTAGAGAAAATCCTCCAATTGCATCTTTTATAATTAGAGTGGTGTCCTCAGTGGGAGATCGCAAGTGTTTGGTTCATCCAGGTAAATACATTATTGGAATAATCACAATTATTATATTTGTCATTCTATTTTACTTTCCACAGCTTTTTTCATCCTATGTTTCGTGCAGAAGTTACTGATAAGCAGCTTAAAAACAACGACGATTTTGTTTGGGCAATTGAGGTTCCATTAACGGGGAAATTCATCATCGACGTTGAATTTCTTGATTTAAAGACTTCATCACCTAATGTAAGAGTTGAAAGAACATTCATTCATGGGACTAAAGCATGTCATACTCTAATGTAAACATTTAAGTAATTGTGGAAAACTTACTTGTTCTGAAGAAGCTTTAACTGGATTTCTACCATGCTTTCTTTCATGTTGTAAAAACACAGGGTGCAGAACCTTGTTCGATTTGGAGTGAAGGGTTTACACAAAGACGGCCGACTGAAACAGCGCTATCATCCCTTGGTCGAATGTTGTCTGAAAGCATTCACACGGATATTGTAATAAACGCATCTGATGGAAGCATTCCAGCACATCGTGCAGTTCTTGCTTCCAGGTCTCCTGTATTCCGAAGCATGTTCTCACACGACCTAAAAGAGAAAGAAATGTCTGCCGTAAACATTTCTGACATGTCAGTTGAAGCCTGCCAGGCCTTTCTCAGTTACCTGTACGGTAACATAGAAAACGAACAATTCTTAACCCATAGACTGCCCCTTCTTCGAGCAGCAGACAAATATGACATCTCAGATTTGAAAGAAGCATGCCATGAGAGTCTACTGGAAGACATTGACACCAGGAATGTGCTGGAGAGGCTGCAAAATGCTTCTCTGTATCAACTGCCCAAACTGAAGACCAGCTGTATGCGGTATCTTGTGAAATTCGGTAAGATCTATGATATACGAGATGATTTCAATGCATTTATTCAATTTGCAGACAGAGAATTGATTGCCGAAATCTTTAATGATGTTCTCGCGGTCTGGAAAGGGTTCTGAGTCCTGCCTAAAGGGAAACGGAAACAGCATATCAGACAATAGGTCATACCTACTAGTGTGCACCATTCCTTGTTCGTAAACATACATTCTTTCGTTTGAATGCCAATTGTTTGTTTGCATGTAAAGACATGGATCTCAATGTAATAGGTCCATGCTATCTAGGACCGTTATGTATAATTGCACGAATTATACATGGACCAAAATGATGTGAATATGATTGATATAATGAAATTCTAATTATTATTTTTCATGCCCATATTGCTTTCAAGCTGCACGTTAGCTCACAATTACTTCCTTTCTGGTTGATATGTTCCTTGTGACCAAAACTTGTGTCTTCTAATAATCCCATTCGTGAGAGAGAAGAGAGCAAGCGAGCCAAAGATTAAGAACTTGGTGGATAAACCTCCTACTTGTTAGAAGCTTTTAGCATTTCACACATTTTGTATGATTGAATAGCCAAGCGCCCCAATTAAAGTGCCTCTATTACAGAAGCGAAAGCAATGTGCCCTAGCCGATTGTGAGAGCCTCTGGGTTTCTAAAGACCCTCGACAGTTTGATACATTGATTGATGAAGCCATACTTCTTTAGGATTTTGATGAAGCAGCCACAACGACAAATATGCAGGACATTGTGTGATTGCGGAAGAAACAGCTCCGTACAAATTTACTACTGTGGTAATCTTTATCTGCCATCTTCAGGTCTATTTACAACAAGATGAATTCAGCCAATAGAGACTTAAAACACCATGAACAAAAGAATCTCCTAACTCCATATTATTACGTGTCCTTGAATCCCCACTTACTACTGTTCCTCAAGCCAGGACTTGATATCTATATTTCTCTGTCTTTATCACTCAATAGCCATAAAGAGTAAGGAAGATTAAGATTTTGAAATTTCGTATCATGGGTGTAAATTGAGCAGGTAAGATGTGTGTTGGTCTAGCAGGTAGGTAAGCAGTCGGTGTCAAGGGAGTCTGGTCAGAGACATCCCAGCTGTGTACAGAAAATAAGTTAAAATGTTAATAAAGCATGAACGGTCACGTCTTCTATATGTGATCAATCATACAAAGTCAACAGCACAGCGTGATTTTTCCAAGTTATAGTTGTAACCATGGTGTATTGACGTGTGATTTTGACTAGATTAAGTTAAATAAGATTCATCTGCTTAAGCCCCTTGTGCTACTTAACATGCCAATCTTTGTTCCCGGTATTTTTGCCCAATCCACTTGGGATAGTGGTAAATCGAGACATGTCAGCTAAGTATGATGCCACTACTTAAGCCCATCATACTACTGAAGAAACTAATTCTTTTTGCTCAGGATTTTGCTCATTCAGAGCAATCCAGTATGGGCTTCCCCTAGGGTTATAGAACCCCTCCAGACAAGACACAAGGGGAGGAGCTCTTTTTTTTTTGCACTATTTTATGAGAGATGCTCCTTGAACGGACCCAAAAACAGGGGGCCTGTTCAAGGAGTTTTTTGCTATTTTATTTACATGGGGCCCACCCCCATGTGAGACTTCTGTATTATTTTGTAAATTCCAGATCTGTACAAATGGAATAATACAATAAAAATTGGCCAAAAAGATTTGCCTCTTTGCACTTCAGAGAGTTGCAAAGACTTCAATGTTTGTTTTATTTTTTTTTCAAAAGAGGCCTGCAGAGGCCAAACTGGGCAGGTCCTGGGACTAGACTTCCATGGTCATAACTAATGTGTAACCGTCTCCTTTAGACCGCAGAACCAGCCTAACATGAAGTCCAGTATGCCACATATATTGTAGCTGACCAAATGACTACAGGATGATAAATCTACTTACATCATAGCACCTCAGAGGTGGTCAACTCTTTATGAAAGAAGCCTATCAAATTGGATAACCTAGTTGTCAATATGTCCTCACATCATGTACATCCTAGCGGTTTAAAATATCTCATCAGCCACATTATTGAGGTTAACAGGACAGAATTGATCGAGGGTTTGATAACTTTTGAAGAACCACAGTCATGGTGCTTATAGATGCAATTTGGGGGCATGAGGATTCAATCAGGTTGTGTAGGTGAATTGGAAGCAAGAGACCAGATACCATATCAAACCTTCCAACCAAACAGTCTACTACTGCCATAGGACACTCTATCTGAGTTCTCACAGTCCACTGGAACCCGGGTAGAGAGTCCAAACTGAAGGACAGTTGCCAATCAACTTTCCTTAACTTGTTTTGCAGACAGATATACTCGCTCAAAGAAATGTAATAGTAATGCACTTAATACCTATACAGTACAAGAGGCCACTTACTTTGTGCATAATTACATCCAGAGCTCTTTAATTGACCTTTGCTTATAAGTAGTAAATTGTACTTGGACATGGAAATTTTATATTCTTGTAAGGACTGAAGTATAATAAACATGGGAGTTTTGTTATTGCTTATTGATTTTAGATTGGATTTCTTCTTAACAGGACATATTAGAATTGAAGTAATTTAAAGCTACAAAAATGTAAATTCGATAAAAATAACTCAGAAGTCACTTAATCAATCGATAACTCACAAACAGCTTGCTTCAATTTTTGTGCATTAACAACCTAATTCTGACCCAGAAGACGGGGGAAAACTTCAAATTAGGGGATGGGGAACCTAGAAACTATGATATCAAACGAGAACTCAAATCTTAGTTTGATTAGCGTTATTCATGAAGATGCAAATATTCAATCTAGAAATTCTAGTCATTGAAAACAATTATTGTATCTTACCTCAGCAGATATAACCATTTTCAAGCTGGTTATAAATGGCGGGTGACTCCATATGCTCAAGCTCTCTTTCTCCATCTTCATCTTTAATCAGTCATTTTTATGAAAATTCCTGCAATACGAACTCTGCCAGCTGGAGAGAGAGGGAGAGATCGCAAATTTTATTTATTTATTTATTTATTCTCTTGGGGTACTTTTCGAAAGCATATGGAGGGAATATTATTAGGATCTCCTAAATGAATTTCACCATATATGAAAACAGTATGAAGCTGTAATGGGCCTACAGCTACGCTTTCGGAGGCGCTATTGTTGCCAAGATTGAGGATGAAAAAGAATTCCCAAATCAGTTATTGAGTATGTTACGATTCAATTTTCAGATTTTAAATTTCAGAATTCAAAACTCGGGTGTTAATTAATTAATTAAAAATATTTTATTAATTAAATATATTAAAGTCACAATTATACAATTAATGGTAATATGTGCATACTTATAAGTCACAATTTATTTATTCATCACATATTATCAAATTAAATGATCACATATTGTTTCATAATCACAATCAAAAAAATTTGATAGGTCACAATTTATTTTATTAATCACAAATCAACAAAATTATAGGTTACGGTCTATTTGCCGATCACAGATTTTCAAATTAGCTGGTCATAAATTATTTTTCAATCACAAATTATCAATTTTTTTTTGTCACAATTAAATAGTTGATCGCATACCACTACCACTACTATTTTCATAAACACCACAGCATTTGCGATCACCACCAACATCACAGTCTAATAGTGCCACCATGACCAACACAATCCTACATGCGACCACCACTACCTCACCACCATCATACATGTCGCCATTGCCATCCCACAACCGCAAAACCACCACCACAAACCACAACAATTGTGAAAATCGCCAACACAACCACGTTGACCACAAAAACCACCATAACCATCGAAGATATCAAACTCAGTAATTAAAAAAAAAAAAAAAGGAAAGGAGATAACAGATCCATGCTACTGCGAATTAACCACTGTCAAATTAGAAGCAACGACAATGGACACGCAACCGTTATCACACCAAATCGTGATAACGCGATGGGCGTTCAACCATTATCGCACTAGATCTTGCCATACTTAAGAAGCAGCAACGGCGACGATGGGTGATTTATGAACGGGCAATGACGGGTTGCTCTATGAGCGGGCAACAGTGGGACGATATTGAGCAACTATAGTTTGGTTTGTGTTGATTGTTAGTGTGAAGGGTGACAGCGATGGTTTTGAGATGGTTTTTGGGGTAGTTTTGGGTGATCTCTTCCTCCTATGATTTGTTTAGCCGAATTTTGAGATGGTTGTTGGTTGTTTGTTGGTGGTGGTGGTGGTGGTGGTGATCATGGTTAGGCGGTGGTGGCAATGGCTGTGAACTTGGATAAAGAGATAGAAAAAATATACAGAGGGGAAAGGAGTAAATTTAATCAATAATCACTGAACTTTACACTTGGTTACTACTTGCTCACTCATCTTTCACAGGTTACTAAATGCTCACTCATCTTTTCATATAATTACTCATTCACCACTCGTCTTTTCAAATAATTGGGCGACTTTTACGGCAAATTTTCGACCACAAAGAATGTCGAATTTTGATACCGTTGGAAAGCCAACGATGTCCTCTTCAATTACCACCCAAAATCTCATTATAACTCCAAGGGATTCGATCGGAAAATTGCCTTAAAAGTTGCCCAAAAATTCTGAAAATCTGCCCAGATTTTCAGATTTTTTGGGCGACTTTTAAGGCAATTTTTTGGCAACTTTCAATCATCAAAACTATCGAATTTTGATACCATTGAAAAGCCCACAATGTCCTCTTCAATTACCATCCAAAATTTCCCAATAACTCCAAAGGATTCGGTCGGAATAAACCCACAAAGTCAACATCTCGAAAAGGTGAAAATCTGGACAAAGTTCGAGATGCTGACTTTGTGGGTTTATTCCGACCGAATCCTTTGGAGTTATCCGGAAATTTTGGGTGGTAATTGAAGAGGATATTGTGGGCTTTCCAATGGTATCAAAATTAGATAGTTTTGATGGTCGAAAATTGCCTTAAAAGTCGCCCAAAAATCTGAAAATTTGGGCAAATTTTCAAAATTTTTGGGCGACTTTTAAGGCAATTTTCCAATCGAATCCCTTGGAATTATAATGAGATTTTGGGTGGTAATTGAAGAGGATATCGTGGACTTTCTAACGGTATCAAAATTCGACATTCTTTGTGGTCGGAAGTTGTCGAAAAGTTACCGCAAAAGTAGCCCAATTATTTGAAGAGACGAGTGATGAATGAGTAATTATATGAAAAGATGAATGAGCATTTAGTAACCTGTGAAAAATGAGTGAGCAAGTAGTAATCAAGTATAAAGTCCAGTGATTATTGGTTAAATTTACTCGAGGGGAAAGATGTTAGGGTTTGGGAGTGTGGGTTGGATGGGGTTGGGGTACATAAATTAATTTAATTTTATATTTTTATTATTTTTAATGTTTATAAATTGAATTATTATCTGCTCATACCTGACTTTTAATTGAAAAACTTAAATATTTGTTTATATGTAATTTCCTCATTGTGGATAGGATCTAGCGAGCCCAAACCCAATGCATGTATAATTTTGGCCTAAGCCTTGTTCGAATTTTATCCAAATCAGCTTGGGTCACAAACTATATAGATATTTACATGCTGGGTGTCACATGGTTGACTTGAATTTCACCAAACTCCACGCGATGGCGTCGGGGTTTCTTGTTCAGCCAGCCAAAAACACATAATTGCACTTTGGAGTATTGAAAACAAATAGAATTTAAACTAAATATGCAGAATATTTAGGTACTTAATTGAAAACAAGATTTACGAAAACTGTTCATCAATTTTTATCCCTAAAAAACAAAGAAACACAAAGTACAAAAATATGAGAGTCAACACATCTCTTGTAGCCTCAATACTGTTATGCCGGCTTTCCTATTCTTTTAGCCCCACTTGGGCTGAGGCTATTCTTACACTCAAACATCACGAGTAACGGCTCGTAACTGTCACGTCATTCTTGTGTTGGAATATTATTAAATTCGTGGACTGAAATCAGTTGGACAAAGTCCCAATGCCGTAGAACACCTAGCCACATCAATGCGTCCCCAAATTCTCCCTCGTGATACCACCATCAAGTAAATTAGACATCATTGTCTCCTTCACTTATTCATCACAAAAGTCAACACGATGTCTCGCGTCGTCCCAACCCGTTCAGTGCACTAAGCATTTCATGGACGCCTTCAATAATGGTATGACATCGAGCAAAACAATCCTTGTGACATATTCATTTTCTCTATTAGGGTCCTCACACTAGGCTAGTGCCAATTCACCTTCATGTGGCAACAATTTGATATTTTTATTGGGATGGTAGTTTGGTGGCATCAACTTGAACTGATGTTACTCCTTCACTCTAAGTACTCGATGATTTTTTTAACATTAATTATGAGTTACCTCATTTTATTAAGTCGGTGGAATCCACCCATTTGTGTCGATTACTGCAAGTAAAGTGAGACTACATATAAATATACTAATGACATGTTTAACGCACAACACGAATGTACAAAAGATAATTCTTATAAGAACTCGATCTTTGTTGTTAAAATATTGTAGCAATGACGGATTCAATATAGTGAGTGAGCTAGGGCGATCGTTGACTCTTGATGACCACAATAGTAAGATTTTTTATTAATATTTAATTAAATAATATTAAAAAAGTTTCAATCAATGTATAAATGCAGTAAAACTTAAAAAGTCATATACATTAGAAAGTATAATATAATATAACCCAAAATAAGAAGAAAAAAATATTTTCCAATCATATATATGTATCATCAAGTTTCAAATTTTTTACGAACTCAAGCGAGATAAGATGAAGTTTACACGTAAAACATGATTAAATGGTAAAAACAAACTCCGAGTTTAGGCGAAAGTTGTGCTAAATTTTGAAAATAATGATTTTTAGAATTAGAACTATTTTTAATACCAAAAGAAAAAGTGTTTTTTGAATTGAAAAGAGTAAAGGGCCATACTTATATTGTCCAAATTTGAATTTTATAAAATAAATTGTAAAACTTAACAATAAAAGTATATATATTATGAAGTAATAATCGAGTCAATAAAATTTTTAAAGAAATTATTTCAAAAACGAAAACTAATATTGTAAAATTGTTTAGTTATTATTTATTGTATTAAAAAATTAAACAAAAAGAAGAAGCATGTGAATTGAACCCCATACCTCTTATCTCACATACAAAGTAATCCTTCTACCATATGAGCTACATGGACCATTATAATGGCCAATATTTAGTCATTATTTATTGTAATTAAAAGTTAAGAGGAGTGGCAATCGAATCGTGTATCATGCAAAAGCGAAGACCCTTCCGCATGATCTGCACACCATTTCATTCAATGTTGATAAAATAACGTAAAATACTTTATTGATCTCTAAAAAGGTGTTCCGTGATAGGATGCTCGCTATAAAGGTGGTGAATTTTAAAAAGGTGTTCCGTGCCTAACAGAAATCTTTTTTTCTTGATGGACTTAGCATAGGCGGCCGCGGTGGCTCTTCAGGTGTTGAGTCCACCTGTGTGGTAGTTGACAACAAAGGATAGGGGGATTCAAGTTTGTGTTGGTATAATTCAATTCAGATGATAAAGGTTGTTAAGAGACTCATGAAATACTTGAATGTAAAGTTATTTGATTGATTATACATAAATAATAAGCGAAAGACAAACGAAGGAGTTAATTGTTCGTGGAACTTAAGGTGAGTGCCTAATCTGTCCCAGATTAGTTCAACAACAAAATCACTAATCAACCTTAAAAATCTCAACCAATCAAATCCGTATCCACAGCATATCACACCAAAGAGGCAACAATAATTAATTGAATCAATTTTACAATTGAAACTACAAACTAAAGAAGAGTAAAGAACACGAATCCTTTAATCTTGTCGAATAAAGCAACAGCATATATTATTCTAAACAAATCCAATCAATTTTCAGATGAATAATTAAAGACCCTAGTAAGGCGGAGGAGCAGTGAAACCCAAAAAAGGACGGCGTCCGTAGGCGGCGCCTCCACTTACGGCGGTGGGATCGTAGTCATGCACCGTATCCTTCAATTTGTGAAACCCATGCTTGAATATCCCAAAACCGAAGAGCATTCCAATGGCTATCACCACTAATATAATGCAAAGGCATAAACAGCACAGCTTCGTTCCACAACACATCTTGAATTTCCTTTGCTGAATTCTTTGTTCTTCTAGAGAAGGAGAAAGAAAATTTGAATATGAGATTGAATCGAGATTTGGGGGTTACGAGAGACAAGGGTTTTATTTGAACAATTTATAGACGTGGGTGTTGCAGTTGATTGCAGGCAAAAGAGGGGAGGAGTGTAAGTTATGAAGACTCATCGAGCGCTACTCTACTACTAATGCGGGTGGGAATCTCTTTATTACTACGTTACAATATAATGAATTCTAGGGAATCATAAAAGCTGGGTCCTAAAAATTAGGGATAATTGCAATTCTGATCCCAATTTTTTGCCCTTTTGGGCAGACTTTTTCAAAATCATTCATTTGTGCCATCTATGATCCCAAACTTTTAAAATAGTAACAACACAAGGACAAAATGGATGATTTTCATCCATATTCCTTTAGTTGACTAAGAAAATTAAATTTACCCACATTTGAATAATTTTTAAAAGAGTAAAATGGTAACTTTATATTTTTTACACAATATAATTATAGATAAAAAAAAATAATTAAAACTTCATCCCTCTCAAAACCGATTAACAGACAATCGGTCATATCTCCTTCACCACTGATCTGGCTCAAGTACTGAACGTCGTTGAGATCTCAATTGTCGTAGAGACAGCAACAACAATGAAAAATCCTTTTATCGTTGCAGCCACTGATGCCAAACTGAATGCCACCTCACCATCGTCTCCTCTTGATCATCGCCAAATGCTACCGATCGAGCCACCCCAACAGCCCATTATCTGGGCGTTGACATATTTCAAACTGTCTCTCATTAACAATCTCCAAAACAACAAATTTGTGATTGCTACTGTGCAGTCACCCCTTTAACAGCCACCACTGTCGACCACCTCTTCCAAGACCCACCAACAATCCAAATACTCACCACCATTGAGCCTCCACCAAATATTGTCATTGTTAAAGTCATAACAGGTGCAAGACAATTGTTACTAATGGAATGGGAATATGGAAGTGCAAATCCTATCCCCAAAATACTCTTATTAGTTTTTGCCAAATTAATGTCAAACAAAAGTTCTGTAGTCCTATGTAGAAATTGAGGAATGAACGCTTTGAGCCTATATATATATATATATATATATATATATATATATATATATATATATATATATATATATAGGCTCAAAGCGTTCATTCCTCAATTTCTACATAGGACTACAGAACTTTTGTTTGACATTAATTTGGCAAAAACTAATAAGAGTATTTTGGGGATAGGATTTGCACTTCCATATTCCCATTAGAAAATTAAATTTACCCACATTTGAATAATTTTTAAAAGAGTAAAATGGTAACTTTATATTTTTTACACAATATAATTATAGATAAAAAAAAATAATTAAAACTTCATCCCTCTCAAAACCGATTAACAGACAATCGGTCATATCTCCTTCACCACTGATCTGGCTCAAGTACTGAACGTCGTTGAGATCTCAATTGTCGTAGAGACAGCAACAACAATGAAAAATCCTTTTATCGTTGCAGCCACTGATGCCAAACTGAATGCCACCTCACCATCGTCTCCTCTTGATCATCGCCAAATGCTACCGATCGAGCCACCCCAACAGCCCATTATCTGGGCGTTGACATATTTCAAACTGTCTCTCATTAACAATCTCCAAAACAACAAATTTGTGATTGCTACTGTGCAGTCACCCCTTTAACAGCCACCACTGTCGACCACCTCTTCCAAGACCCACCAACAATCCAAATACTCACCACCATTGAGCCTCCACCAAATATTGTCATTGTTAAAGTCATAACAGGTGCAAGACAATTGTTACTAATGGAATGGGAATATGGAAGTGCAAATCCTATCCCCAAAATACTCTTATTAGTTTTTGCCAAATTAATGTCAAACAAAAGTTCTGTAGTCCTATGTAGAAATTGAGGAATGAACGCTTTGAGCCTATATATATATATATATATATATATATATAAATTATGTTTCTATTTTTAGTTTTTCATTGGCTTCAAGATTGATGCTTTTGTGCTGATGCGGTGTAGGGTAGAGGTAGTAGCAATTTACGCGGGTGGTCGTGGCCGAGGCCGACTGTGAGTGAATGGGTTTGATGGAGTAGGGGTAGAGCTGATCCTGTGTTTGCTAGGCACTGAGGCAAACGATGAAAATTAGACCCTCCAGCGACAAAATTCAAAGGTGTATTATGCGATTCATTACTAACTTAAAAAACTAACATTAAAACATCAATGAAATATATCATAGAAACGATTTATATTATAAATTATCAAACCAAAAATTTCAAACAATTAGTTAAATATTATTCGTCTTTCTGTTTTAGAGGCAAAAACATCAATCAAATCTGAATAACTTAGTTGCTCAACCATTTCTTTTTCTATTGATAATATAGTCAACCCGTTTAATCTTTCTTGTGACATAGTTGATCGGAGATAGGTCTTAATCAACTTCAATTTTGAGAAACTTCTTTCCGTAGATGCAACTGTAACCGGTATGGTTAACAAAATTTTGTAAGCAATATAAGTATTTGGAAAATAAACATCCAATGTCTTCAAATAGTGTAGTACTTCAATTGCTCTTGTTGCTTCATTTGGTAAATTAATCTTTAAGACTTGTAACTCCGAACATAAACCATCTCCACTGATATCCGAAAGCCCATCATGTTCAAGATATTTCTCAAGATTCATACAAGAGTTCAACAAATGTGATAAAGTTGCACTCCTTAAACTCTTCAAATTAAACAAAAATTCAAAAATATCATCATATTGTTTGAATTGTTCAAATCGAGTCTTCAGAGAAGATAGAGCTTGATTAATCATAAAAACAAAGTACTCAACTCTAAATGATTCTTATGCTGATTGCTTTACCTCATGACTACAGTTTTCATCAAATTGCTTTTTTCTTCGAATTATGTGTTTTCCATAAATACAACTTCAATTCCCATTTCGTTTGCCTTTTTTGTCGTTTCATCAATGGCAATGGAAAATTCAATTTCTCTATAATTTTCAAGAAATGAAACAAATCCTTGCAATAGCTCGATAGCATAATCAATATCCATGGATTCGGTTTGAAAAAATTCACTCACAATATTGACTGCATGCAACAACCTGTACCAGATTACCATGCCAAGCAAGAACTCAAAATTCTGAAGTTCATGTGTTGTCAACGACTCAGCTTCACTCTTTACTTTAGGATCTTCGTTAGTTTCTGCCAAATCAAGTAATGCTTCTCTTATCTGTGCAGTTTGCTTCATTATAGGCTTCACACTCTCAACATGACTTTCCCAACGTGTTTGTGACAACAGCTTCACTATTAACCCTTTTACATTATCTTTAAATGTATGTCATCGCTTGGTAGAAGATGAAAACAAAGTGTAGATGCATTGTATCACTCCAAAGAAGAATATAGTTTTGGAACAACAATTCATCATATCACATAACGCTAGATTTAGACTATGAGACCACATGGAATATAGAAAGCTTGGGGATCCATTTAATGTACTCTTCTTTGCACACCTTTGTGCTTCTCGCTCATGTGAGATCTGTTGTCATACCCTAACCCTCTAATGTCATCAATATCCAGATCGAGTTTGATCAAAGCCTTTTGAAGCTCGATTGTAAGTCCAAGTCCTATTGTGTTATTTACCTTCAAAAATTCAAGCGAATGTTCTTCAACTGTAGGTAAGTTTGCCGAATCATCTACAAATCGTACTATCAACGACATTTGCTTCTCATGACTTGCATCTTGAGTACAATCAAGTATAACTGTGAAATATTTTGCATATTTAATTTTCTTGACAATTGCACTTCTCACCTCATTAGCCAACAACTGTATCAACTTATTTTGAATTTTTTTCCAAGATATGTGTATTGAATCTCTTTTGCATTAGCCCGTCGAAGGTGCTCTTTCATTATTGGATCAAATTCACTAACAATTTCCACCATTTGTAAAAACAGACCATTGTTCTCAACATTTGGCCTCTCATCATCTCCTCGAAATGGTAAGGTGTTTTTGGCAAGTCTTTTTACAATAGCGATTATCCTTGTTAATACATGCCTCCAATATTTTCTTTCCGCATCGATCAACAATTCAACACTTTTATCAATTGTAATTTTTGTTCAAAGCCTATTTTCCAATTCAATCCAGCTAGTCATGCAACATAAATGCTCTTCATTTCCTTCATGACTTTTAATCGATTGATGCAAATTATGCCAATCTTTGAATCCATCGTTACCAAGTAGGCCAACTCTGGTAACATTTTAGGTGTTTTAAACAACTTGCAACAAAAGAAAAAGATCATGTCCATAGATATTGAATATACTAGTCATCTTCTATCAATTGTTTGCCCATTTCGTAGCAATCGTTTATATTGTGAAGAATCAAAATGCCTATTTGTACAATCTTTCAGAAACGAGATGTCATCAACTCTTTTTGGACCCCTTTCAACTAAGTAATCCCTTATTCTCTGATCAATGATTTTTCAATTCCTGGGATCATCCAAATTTAGAGAAAAGCAACCCTTTTCTTCCTTGTCATCTATTTCATTAACATATGCAGGTTTCATCACCTCTTCTTCCTTATCATCTACTACATTAACGTAGGCAGATTGACTCACTTCTTCATCATTTTCATCTACTTCATTAACACGTGTAGGTTGAAGCTCTACTTCATCATCATTCAATGTATTCACATTGTTGCTTTTAAAGTACTTGCCAATATCCCCTACTTGACTTTGAATTAATGAAATTTCATTTTGTTTCTTTTTTCTTTTTTGAGCACTAGACTCATATTTAAGAGGCATGGTGTATGAGTCTATATCTGATGCCCAATGATTAACCTAAAAAACAATTACAAAATATCTCAAATCATCACACAGTTAGAGTTTTCAATATAGTTATTATGTGCGCCTGTGCAATTGTTGATCCTTTAATAATCAATCATATAAGCCGACCAGGCCACAATTATATAAGCCGACAAGGCTTCAAATATTTTCAATTTCTTCAACAACAAGTCAAGGCAAGCCATTGCTTACCTGACAAGTAGAATTTCGACAAAAATTGCGGAGTTACACCTTCAAAAATTCTACTGTCACAAGATTCGCAACTTCCGAC